ATGTTTGTCTCGATGTTTGAATATATATTTGCTTCCGCACTCTAGAACAATATTTCAGAATTTCAGACTTGAGTTTCAGATGTCAGATTTCAGACTACTATTTCAGATGTCAGATTATGTCAGATTTTCAGAATATGCATGTGTTATCCGTTATTATTCATGGCCTTAATTCTAGAATGAATTTACTTGGCCTCATGCATGATAGATTAAGAAATAAAGATATAAGATTAAAGTTGAGTAGCACCCCGCGTTTTAAAGTTAAAGTATTTTCGAAAAATTAATAAGAGTTTTCGAAAATTAAAGCAGTGCTTTCCAATTATAGCGCGAAAAATTTACTCTGATTTTAGTATGTTTAGGCGGGGTGTTACACAACAACTTATTTGCACTCTTACGAGGTAATAAAAATATTTAGCAAATCTACCAAATATTATATGTTTAATTGCAAACATATGAGAATTCTATTATTCAACATAAATAAGGTTATTGGGATATTTCCTATAATTAGAGAAAAATGCATCCAACTCTCTCTTTCTCTAGCAGATATTATGAAAGCAAAAACCCTCCGCCGATGACTCTCACCCTCACCTTCTTCCTTCTCCCGCCTGCCTCCGCCTTCCGCGAAGAGGTCCGATCAATCTTTGGTTCAGAAAAAGCCTCAAATCCGACCCTTCTGACCTTGTCTTCTCTTCCTGGGTGCCCCACGCCTCCGCCTCCGCTTGCTACGACGACTTATACGGCGTCGTCAGCTACACCGCTGCCTCCGCCGTGGTCGTAGTCACTCTTGACTGCCTAAGCCTCACATGTGAACTGAAATTTCGGTTCCCTGACAAAGTTTGTCCAAGGCGGCGTAAGGAGACGAAGTGCGATCGTGACTTGGGGCGTCCGAGGGGGATGGGGAAGGGCGATCCTTCATCTCCCTACTCTCGATTGTCATCTCCACCAGACAGTATATATGCTATATATATGTAGTATATTTTTACTTTTTTTTTTATTGTTTGTGTAGTTGCAGGTATATATACTGTATATTTTCCGCATTTATGCTGTTTATATTTTTTTCATATGCACACTATTAGAGTTTATATAGTTTGGTTTTTTCGTATGAAATATTTAAATTGAAAATCATAAGAATCGACATGATTCTAGGTATATATGTTGTATATTTTTTGTATATATACTGTTTATATTTTGTATATTCCATCATCTTGTTGATCAGAAAATGGACGACGCTGCTTGTGTTTGACGCTGCTCGTGATGGACAACGTTGCTCGTGAATGTATAGTTCGTATTTTCTTTTTTTTTTTTTTTTAATTGATGAAAGAATACCATCAGTTACAGAATTCTTAAGATGGTAACTCTTTATTTTTTGTTTGACCATTATATTATAGTTATCCAAATAATTTTGTTAAGCTAGACATACTTACAAATAAGTTTTCACTTTTGTATTTACGCAATTCTCTTAAAATCCTTAACGTGTAAATGTAAATTACCCTATTTTAAAATGAAATGGGCCGCAAAGCCCATCCAAGTTAAAAAAAAAAATCATAAAAAAAGGAAAAAGGCCCATCCAAGTAGGGTATATAGTAAAGTAAAATGTGACAGAAGGTGTAGCGGCGCATTATTGGTGGTGTTGGAGATGTAGGTTTCCGTAAGCCACTGCAGGTGAGGTCTGTATTAATAACAAGATAAGATGATTCGTTTGAGAGGTTTCAGTTGTTTTCTTATGAAACCTTTTGTTAGTTCATCGAATAGGATGATTGTAGGTGACGTAGGTTTTTTTTCTGATGATAATAATCGGGAGGCGACAGATAATATATCGCATTCTGTTGTGAGGAATTCTTCTTCTGACGATAATAATAGGGGGGCTACAGATAATAAATCGCATTCTGTTGTGAGGAATTCTTCTTCTGATGATAATAACAGGGGGGCTACAGATAATAAATTGCATTCTGTTGTGAGGAATTCTTCTTCTGATGATAACAGTACGGCGATGATAAGGAACAGCAGCGTTAAGTCGCCTTGGCTTATGCTCCCCCCCTCAGTGGAATGCGGCAACATGTTGTATAATTTCTACAATTTGGCAGAATCCAAAATAGAGAGATTAAGATCAACATTGGAAGTAGACGATGATGCCAAATTGGTGTGTTCGTCTCATGGCTGGATAGCTGTTCTGAACCAGCGCAACCACGGGCTGCTCCTCTGGAACCCCATCACTCAGGTACGCATAAACCTCCCATCCCTCCTCACCTTGCCCGATCCCCAAATTAACTGCTGTGGGATTGTATCTAAGCTCATACTCTCCTGCTCCCCCGACAACGACCTAGATCAATGCCGTGCCATGATGATTTTTGGGCCCCTTAACAGGCTGGCTTTCTGCCAGCCCGGCCGCAGCACCCACTGGACCCCCATCGGCCATTTGTATTGGAGTAAGAAATTTTATTCGGAGGTCCACAACCACGACGACGGCATGTTTGCCATGCAGTACACCGATTGCGTCTATTCCACCACACACAAACTCTTCTTCTGTTTTGTCATTTGGAGATTGGAGTGTTGGGATCTTCAGGACCTTGAGTGCCCCAGGATTTGTTGGTCAGAGATTGTACATTATATGGTTGGGGTTGCTAGTGAGGAAGAGACGATGGCCCTCTCTTTTACCACTGGGGGATATCCAGATGTGATGAACCAACATTTCCTTGTGGTGGCAGAGCAGATGAATCAACTTTTTCTCTTGACTCGACATGTATGCTTACGGATGGGCCTTGACGGTACCAATCGTCCGCCAATCTACTTTGGTAAGTATAGGGGTTGGGATGACAAATTCCCCCACCAAACCTATTCTTTCGATGTTTTTAAAGTTGACTATATTTCGGGGGGCGACGGCACTCAGCCCAAGCTTATTATGACTAACTTGGAGGGTTCGCTGGATGGGCTGGCAATGTTTATTGGCAAGAACCACTCCTTTGCCATATCCACACCAACCAGCCATGGCCTAGAAAGAGATTGTATTTACTTTACTGACACAAATATACACCAGCCTCCAGCAGGCTCCATCTATGGGGGCCACGATATCGGCATTTATCATTGCGCGACCAGAACATTTTCTGATTGCTTTTATCCACGGGACACCAACAAAATAAAGAAGATTGTGCCTGCACCCATGTGGTTTACTCCCAACGACAGCACGCACTAACCAATGATTTAGCAGCAAATTATCCTAATTACTCTGTTTTTCTGCTCAGGAACAATTTATCTATTTTTGCTAGTCTTGTATTATCTTTTATCCATTCATCTTCATAAATATGGATCGTGATTATTTAGAGTTTGTCCAGTATTTGTGGGTTATTATTAATCTTGTCGTGTTAATCTATTCCCCTTTATTTTCTTTTCCTTTATCTATTTATTTATTTATCATGAATATCTCTTTCATACTTATGAGAAAAACCTGAGACATTTATATGTGAACTCGTTCCATGGGGTGAGGTTACCAAAATGCCCTTCATTTTTCGTGTATATATCTATATATATATATATATATATATATATATATATAGAGTTAGGATCATATGAGAATGATAGGTAGGGAAAGAAATAAGAATGAATGTGGAACATTAGATCATACATATCAATGATTAAAATAAAGTCAAACTAGTCAATCATTAATGGCAATAAGGTAATTCAATATACATATTGTGGTCAAATATACATATTTGACTACTCCATAAGGGTAAAACAGACATTATACATACATCATGGGCCCCACCACAAACTCTACTAACACACTCTCTACTCTTAAACCAA